GCTTTATGTTTTTCTCGAATTAAAAAATGAAAATAATTTATTGACCTATGAAAACTAATACTTCAACTAATACTTCCTTTTATAATAACATAATAATGGTAACTCATAGTTACATAAACTGCTATTAAATACTTCTATTATATAACTTTTTACATAAATCAAAATCATGATAATTACAATTGCAATAGTACTACTGATGATCAATACTGAAAGGCCTCTAGTACTATTTAATACTTTCTTAGGAGTATTTTAATATAGAAAATTGATTCATTTTTTGAATATTGTTGTTTTGCTTGGCTTCTTTTTCCTTCATATTGTTTTAAATAAATTGCTTGCATTTATCTTTAAATTTACTTTTAGCATATCATAATAGTACTATGCCACGTTTATACAAAAATAAAATTGATTCCAGGCCGTATAAAAATTATTCTGAACAACATGTATCAAATGTTATGATAGCTATCAATAGTGGTTTGTCGTACAGAAAAGCATCGTATATTCATGGGATTCCGGTTGGGACTTTGTATAATAAAGCTAAAAGACTTAATCTGAAAAAACCAGAAAAACCCACAGTTTTTACGTCTATGCAGGAATTAGCAATTGTGCAACATGTTATTGCTGTTGTTGTATGGGGTTTTCCTTTTGATATCATGGATCTTCGTGTTTTAGGAAAGTCAATTTTGGATATTGAAGGCAGAGTTGTTCCTAATTTTAACAATAACTTTCCTGGAAGTGAGTGGGCTCATAGTTTTTTAAAGAGTCACAATGCTGATCTCACTCTACGAATGAGTCAGAATATTAAAAAAGTAGGGCATTAGTTTCATTTTCTGAAATTAATAAGTTTTTTGATAATTTGAAAATTACTTTAAAGTATAATGAAGAAATACAAATTCCTTCCTGTAATGTTTTTAACTATGATGAAACATATTTGTCCGATAATCCTGGAACTAAACTATGTATTTTTAAAAGAGGGGTGAAATATCCTAAACGTATTCAGAACAGTAGTAAAAGTGCTACGTCAATCATCTTTTGTGGTTCAGCCTTTGGTCAAATGCACCCAGCTTATGTTGTTTATAAAGCTGACCATGTATGGACAACATGGACTGAAGGTGGACCACCTAATGTACGATTCAATCGAAGTAAGTCAGGATGGTTTGATTCTGTTTGTTTTTATGATTGGTTTGAGAGTTTTTCTCAGATCTGTAAAACATCTTCCAGGAACCAAAGTTCCTGGAAGATGTTTTACAGGTGATAATCTTAGCAGTCACTTTAGTGAAAAGGTACTTAAATTAGCTAAAGAAAACAACATCTTGTTTATTTGCTTATTTGCAAACTCTACCCATTTACTGCAACAACTTGATGTTGTATTTTTTGGACCACTTAAAAAATATTGGAGAAAAATACTTAATGAATGGAAAATTTCGTGTTCAAAAAAAACACAGACAATTACAAAAGACAAATTTCTTTCTTCTATTAAAAAAATTGTTTACTTATATATATTCGCAAGATCAAGAGGTAAGCAGCACTTTAGTAGCTGGTTTTAAAAAATGTGGTATTTACCCATTGAATGCAAGTATTGTCCTCAATCGTTTACCAGATGCTGATAAAATATTAAAAGTTTTAAAAGCAACGTTATCCAAGCTGTAGTTAATGTATTTAAGCGATTGCGTTGTGTTGATGACCAGGAAAAAAAAAAAGCGAAAAATAAAATTAACAGTTGATCCTGGTAAAAGTATTTCTTTAGAGGATTTTCGAGCGACATTTAATGATGTTCCATATGCATCGTCTTTTCTTAGTGAAACTATTGTTTCATCTCAGTTGTCTTCTAATCCTGAACATAAAAAACTAAAGAATGAAAATTCTTTTTATGCAGGTCTTGTTAAAACATACCCATTAAGACAAAAAAAACCATTTAGGTAAAAAATTATTACATAATATTATATTATTTGAGTGATGATAATAAATATGAACCTAGAGTGTTGTTTTTATTGAATTTTAAAACCGAGCATTGTGTTTTTGAATATGTTTTGCTTTAACAGCAAAACATATTCAAAGTAACCCCGTTTGCGGGGTAACTTTGAACGACTAAGTAAATAAATATTATACCAAATCTTTTTGTTTAAATATGATTTTGAGTTTGAACTATGTAAGAGCCAGCTATAGCTCCTATATGCATAAAGTTAAAATTTAAATAATGTCACTAATGAACGAGGGGCATACAAAAATATCTCAAAAACGTTCAAAGTACCCCGGTTGAAGGTATGTTTATTTATTATGCAGAAATAGTATATAAAACTTGTAAATAATTATTATTTTGTAATAAAAAAATAAAATAAAAATTGTTCACGTTCTAGTTCAAAACATTCCAATAGGAATGTTTTGAACTAGAACGTGAACGTTACGTATAAATTTCTGACTAATTAATAAGGTTACGTTTTTAATTATTATCTCGGTTTCAAAGAACTCAGATACCTTGCTAACGTTGTGTACAACAATTACTATAATGCCTGGTTATTCCCCAGATGTAACAGAGTAGATTTTTTTTTGCTAAATCTTCCAAAAACTCCTCCACACTGCAATTAAGATTACCATACAGACAGATTAAAACTGTATGCAAAGCACTTGAAGCAGAAGGTTTAAAAATTCCAAGATTGATACGTCCGGACTCACTGTCATCTAAAGGCGACATCGCTAGCGTAACTTTTAGCCATTTAACAAATAAATTAAAGTATTTCAAAACTCGTGTTAAACTTCGCTACAAACGATAAAACCACAAGCAAGAATTCTTATAAACACAAATTATTTTTTTTTTTATAAAACAAAATATTATATACAATTTTATAATTTTATACTATCTCTGGTTACAAATGCAATCAAGTCTTACAAATATTTTTTTTTTGCATATATAATATTGTTTGTTTACAAGTGTTTTTATTTATTTACATTTTATTTATATCTTTATACATTTTATTTATATCTTTATACATATATACATTTTGTTTTTGGGCTTTTAAATTTTATATTTTTTTTGCGTTTTTTGGTTATATATTTTTTTGTATTTTTTATTTTTTTACTTTTTAGCCGTTGTGCGGAGAGATGTCAAAAGGTTGGCAAGGTAAAAAAAAAATTTATATGTATTATAAGATACTGTTCAATATTAAACTAGAGTATTTTGAAAAGAAAGACTATATTAAGGAAAAAATAATTAGGTAATAAGTAATTAACAGGACTTTTACACAAATGCCATTATAAAATTTTTACGTATAACACCAATATGTTAAAATAATATTTCATTAAATAATGGCAGTGATTTTTTAATTATGTTGTAAAAAAAAAAACTTTGCAGAGAACAGGAGGTCTTAACTAAACATCCAGTTCTGAATTTTGAGCCAGTGTATTAAAATAGCTCATATGTTTAGTTTCATTTTCCCATTCTCTACTTGGCAAATTACATTATTAATACAAAAAAGTTGACAGAAAATGTCCGCAGTGTTTCTATGGGCATGATAATTACACAGTAAATAAAATACCCGTTATATTTTTAAAAAACATAACGGGAGTTTTCCTCGCACATAACGGGTAATTGTCGTTATGTTTAATACTTAACATGTATGAAAATAACATAACGGTTTTAGCGTTATGTTTAGTCATAGCAAAATTGCCTTAAACATAACGGTTACATAATGCTAATTTACCGTTATGTGCGAGGAAAACTCCCGTTATATAACGGGTAATTACCCGTTATGTTACCGTTATGTTGAAAACCTAACATAACGGGTAATTACCCGTTATGTTACCGTTATGTAAAATGAAAATTATCTTTTTAAAGAAACGCATAATTCTGCATGACTATTCGCAAAAAGTACTTAACAAAAAAACATTTTTTTGTCAATAAAAGTTGTAATAAGAAAATAAAAATTATACATAAAATATATTTCATATCATAGTATATTTATATTATACTATTTATAATAATCATGAAAATTATTTACAAAATAATTGAATAAATTATTTACAAAATAATTGAATAAATTATTTAAAAAATAATTGAATAAAATAACTTATTAAAATTTATAAATTCAAAAGTAATTTGCATTGCAGAAGAAAAATGTATTTTTTAGATAATAAAGCCAATTGCAAAAAGTCTCAAATATCTTGCTAACATCCCAGAAGCCGCCCAAAACAAGAATATGTTAAATCTAGCAAATAGTAAACAAATGTACTGATCAAGGGTTGAACATCCATTTCGATACCTCTTCAACTCCTTACATCATATTCTGTTTTATTAAAGATAACTTGTGGACCATATAAACTTTGGCATAAGTATTCATGTAGTGAATCAAATATCTTGCTAACATCCCAGAAGCCGCCCAAAACAAGAATATGTTAAATCTAGCAAATAGTAAACAAATGTACTGATCAAGGGTTGAATATCCATTTCGATACCTCTTCAACTCCTTACATCATATTCTGTTTTATTAAAGATAACTTGTGGACCATATAAACTTTGGCATAAGTATTCATGTAGTGAATCACACTAAAATTTTATAAATAAAAAATAATTATCACAATCATAAAATAAAAAATTATTATTAATACATTAAATGGAAAATAAAAAATAATTTCAAATATTAAAGACTTTTTCAGGGAACTTATTGGTCAATTTACGGACCGAAAATTGGCACAATATACAGTGAATTAAAAATTTGAAATTTTTAGGTATGCATCTTCAATACAAGAAGTATAAATGCAGCATAAACAAATTTAATGTTTTTTCAATTTTTCCTATTTCCAAATAATTCCTCAAACTAACCTTGAACATTTTTATGATAATAAAAGTTTAATTAAACATAAAAAATTCATGCAGTTTAATACCTTAATATATTTATATTAAATCATTTTTCATAACCAAGAAAATAATTAAACAAATTAACTTTGGTAAAAATTAACATTAATAAAGTCAAAAGTACTTTGCATTGCTATGAAAAAACTGCAGAACTAAATGAATTTTTTAAATAATAAAACTTATTGCCCAAATCCGCAAATATCTTGGAAACATCCCAGAAGCTGCCCAAAACAAGGATACGTTAAATCTAACAAATAAACAGCCATCAAAACGACATTATATATATTATAATTATATATATACATATATATATATATATATATATATATATATATATATATATATATATATATATATATATATATATATACATATATATATATATATATATATATATATATATATATATATATATATATATATATATATATATATATGTGTGTATATATATATTAAATATATATATATATATATATATATATATATATATATATATATATATATATATATATATATATATATATATATATATATATATATATGTGTGTATATATATATTAAATATATATATATATATATATATATATATATATATATATATATATATATGTGTGTGTATATATATATTAAATATATATATATATATATATATATATATATATATATATATATATATATATATACATATATATATATATATATATATATATATATATATATATATATATATATATGTATATATATATATATATATATATATATATATATATATATATATATATATATATATATATATATATATATATATATATATATATATATATTAACAATAGATGCCATGACTTTTATTGTGAGCAATCAAAATATACCAATCAGTTATGGGCTTCAGAACCAAATATACAATAAATATATATTAATTAACAACCAAAATGCTGTTTTATAGCTAAGTTACTTAGTAAGTGGTAAACACCGTACGTAAATAAATAAGTAAATCAAAATAGTAGAGACATTATAAACAAAAAATCTAATTGCAAAAATCCTTTAGATTCGCGCCATTTTGTAAACATAACGGTTAAACATAACGCTTTACAAATATCATACAAATAGTTTTGGGCATAAAGCTTTAAACTTAACATAACGCTAACATAACGGTGAACATAACGCCAAAATTTTCAATTACCGTTATGTAACCGTTATTTTAGCGTTATGTTTTTTGCTGTGTATATTTTAAAATAATAATATTTCTGATGTTCCTGATCATTATCCTAATTACTGCCAATGGGTCAATTTTTATGTTACTATACATGTTGTGGCATCTACTGTTCCATATCGCACTTATATTGGTTTGAGTGAGCGTCAACAGCAGTTGCGAAGTATGGTTCGTCTCCGACAAATTTGCTATCCCAATCGAGAAAATTGAATTATTGGAGAGAAGTTTTTTTGGTATGTTAAGGAGTTATATACATGTTTAAAATTCTCCCATATTTCAACAAAAGGAGGGCAGCAAGCAAAAAATGTGGGTGCTGTCCTCGATTTTACCGCAAGTTTTGCATTTGTTTTTTACAATCTGTTGCCTTGTGCTTATGGCTATCAAGGCAGCAGAAAGTAGATTGTTGTGTAAAAATCGAAAAAGAATATTTTGTGTTGGTCCGCATGCGTGGGAGGTGAAGTTTTTTTTCCAAATTTGGGTCCACAGCATTGTTGTTTTTGTTGAACCGTTCTAGAAAAGTTCTGCTGGCACGACTGTCTTTTTGTTTTTTGCTACTTCTAAGTAAATATTTTTTGTTGATTTAAGGGGGATGTTAAATAGGGACCCGTTTTTGCCTAATGTTTCAATTGTTGTTGCGTAGTATAGAAACATTTTGTTGTTCCAGTATTTTGGATAATTGTTTTTGATAATTTTGGAAAGTATTAGTAATCGTGGGTGTTATCCTCTCCGCATTCTTTCAGTTGAAAGAATGTTTTGAAACGAAGTTCAAGGCTTTTCGCCTTTGGTGATAAAATTCTGAGACCCCCGTTTTAAACGGGTAAGAAAAGTGTCTCTTTTTTGACCGGATTGAAATTGGTCTTTTGCCACAGATTTTTGAAAATGACACTCTGCAAACGTTCTGTTACCCATTCGGGAACGGGCAGCACATTTGTTAGAAACCACACTTTTGACATTGCTAACGTATTTATCAACATAGTCTTTCTCCTAAGTGACAAAGTATGTATTCCCAGAAACATGAGTTTTTTCTCTATTTAGTTTAAAGTTACTAGCCAGTTGAAATTGGTAGTATTACTCAGTTTGGTGTAAAAAGTAACACCCAAAATTTTGAAACTGGTGTTATTGGTCCACTGTATGTTGTCCAATTCTGGGTACATTTTAGGATCAAAACCCCCAAGAGCAAAACCCTGACCTTGGTTTTTGAGGCGTTGATCACTGAACCACTTGCTTTTTCAAATAGTTTTACTGTTTCGAAAAAAAAGCGAACTGATTTTACGTTCTTGGCAAAAAAATTCAAATTGCCTGCGTACTGCTATAATTTAAGGGGTTTTGATGTTCCTGGTAGTGGGAATCTCTCGATTCTGCTGTCTGCTCTGATCACCAAAGCAAGAGCTTCAGCAACAAAAATATAAAACAAAAGAGAGAGAGGGTCGCCTTGTCTAACTGCCCTATTCGGTAGGCTAAGTGGCTGATAGGAAACTGCAATTCAGAACAGATGCCGACTTCGGAATATAGCGCATCTTTTATAAATGCGCATTTTAAAAGCGCATTTATAAAAGATGTCTAAAAGATATCGTTTCAAAAAGCGCATTTTTAAAGACATATAAAAAATGTCTTAAAGGTGTTTTTAAAAATGCGTCTTTATCTAAATTAGTTTTAGACGTCTACAAACGTCTAGAATGCGTCTTGTGCTCACTGGGTCTCGATATCTCAACTACTGGATATCTCGAACTTTTGTGTATCTCAAACTTGATTTCCGGTCCCTTGCGCACTTGTTTAAGCCAAAATACTCTCAATATCTTAAACTCTTGATATCTCAAACTTTTTTTCCGGCCCTCTGAGAGTTCGAGATATCAGAGTCAGCTGTATAAGGCGCATTACTCCAAGAAAACGGTATAAGTTATAACTGAACATAAACTAGATTTAAAACGGTATAAATATTTGAGTTAAATGTGAACTAGATATTAAACAAATAACCCCATTTTATCGTAATAAATTGTGATTAAAAATTAACTTAGTATAAAACGATATTTTTAGATTAATGTTATATAAAATAACTACATAATATGTAATTATTACACAATATATTATGTTGTGTGAAAAAAAAACAAAGTAATAATTCCACTGCTACGGTATACATTTTTCAATATTAACCACTACATAATGCGGTGATAATATACAATTATATTTTACTTAGTATAAAACGAATATTTCCGGTGAAAGGGCATTACTTAAAATAAATAAACATTAACTTGGTATAAAACGAACATTTCCCCAATTATAATTAAATATAAACAAAGTAAAAAGCGATAAAACAAAAATTATATAAAACAATTATTTCCATTTATTGGGTATAAATTAAATATAAATATAAGTTAAAATAAATTAAAATTATATATAAAAATATAGGGTATAATTAAATATAAACTAAAGTAAAAAACGAAAAGCTCTACTAAAATAATTAACATTTTTATAAAACAAATAACTCCACTAAAACGGCAGATATCATAATCATTTATAAAATAAGTAAAAAACGAATTTATACGGTATAAACCATAACTAAATTTATGTTAAATACAAAAAATATTTTCCCTAAAGGGTATACATTATGATTTAATTTAAAATAAGAGTTTAATTACCATAACATAAGCAAATATAATATAAACTAATTATAATTTACTAATAAACTAATGAGTAAATATTTTCAATTAAGGTGGCTACCCACCTTAATTGAAAATATTTACTCATTTGAAACTCACTTAATTGAAAATAAAATACCCACCTTAATTGAAAACCCTTTTATCCCTCCAAATTTAAACATTTCAATTGCATTATAATTAAATAAGACAAAAAATACAAAAAAGTTACGTTTTTATTATTACGTCATTAATTGACGTAAAGCAGCATGTTTTTTAACAAGGATAACTAAATGGAGAGTTTTCCAAATCAAGTGAAACTTTTCAAAAACATTAATTATCATATGAACTGTGAGTCAAAAAAAAATTTGATATTTTTATTTAAAGCTCTGAAATTCAAAATTTAGTATAAATCCCTAAAAAAAGGTAAAAAATGGCCCGATTAACCAAAATTTTAATTTGAATGGGATACTATAGTACAAATATTTTTTACTCAGTACATTCATCTAACTAGATTTTGACTCAGTAAAAAATTTCAACTTAAGATATTGTTCCAAACTAAAGATATCTTTGTTAGAAAGTAGAAAATTTGTAAATGGAGAAAAACGCAAGAAACATATATAATAAACACAAAAAAACAAATAACAGTTCAAGTAAAAGAACCAGAAGCATAGCATTCGCCCTCGTTTTCTGTTGTGTTATCATTGTAGCCTTTTTTAATTGATCTAAGTTTTTTTCTTCATTTTTTTCTGCTGACTTTTTGTTCATCTCCCTAACGCATTTAACATATTTAAAAGTCCTTTCAAATTATACTTTCCTGCTACAATACCAATCTTGGAATAAATAGGGAGTAGTCCCTGGGAACCTTCATTGAAGCTAATGACACCAGATACTGCAGCCATCTCTAAAGAATCTTTTCCTGTAAGAACTCTTTTCGAATATTTGGTCCAAACCATAATAATTCTGTAGCCTATTAATTACTTTGTCAGTAAGGCGACCTTTACCAGACAAAGTTTTATCATCTGATAACAGTTTACCTCGATAGTTTATTCGCTAAGTTTTTAACCGTGCACCACATCGCTTTTGTACATGGCCTACACATTCTGCTTCATTTATTTCAAAGCCTGAATAAGGATCTGATGCAACAACTCTTTGGTATGACTTGGTATCACCATCACCAATGTATGTAGTGTATTGTAAATTTCGATTAATTACTGAACAACCAAAAATCTTTGTTGCACCTTCTACTTCCATAGCGCCAGAGCTGCCTACATGGTTGATTTTACAGTTGTGGCTAAGTTTCCACAATTTGTAGTCAGCCTACTCTTGTTTCTTTTCCCAAAAACTGAAAGACTTACACATTTGGAAAGAACTTCAATGTCAACACACTTTCCGTTAGATATGAGGGTGACTACACAACTTAGAGATGTATACCCATGATGTTGCCATGATCCATCTGTACTTGCAGATACGTTGACAACTGCATCTTTATGCAGGTATCATTGAGCACATCTTTTCTGATTTCAATTGCTGCATTTCTTATTGAATTTTCTGTTACCTCAACATATGAATCCTGTAAGTTCTTGTTTGAATTCTCAAATGGTTTCGAATTCATTGGTGGAGGCATAGCAGTATAACCACAACCTATCTCACAAAAAGCCATTATTAACAAGTAACTTACTTCATAGAATTTTCGACCATTTATTCCATGATCCTCTATAATTGGTTTAGAAGTTAAAAAATTTGTATTCCAATCACATTCGTTGCACGAGAGAAAGAAAATGTGAGCAAGTCCTTTTTTGTTTTCCATGTCATGAAAAACTTTAACTTCAGCTGTGCAATTTGGGCACCGACCAATTATGCTAAGTAAATTAATAGCAAATTTGAATTCACAATTAAATTAAAGTTATCATTACAGGCTTCCTTTTGATTTGTTTTTTTACTTCCAAAAAAGATAAATCGATTTTTTTAGAAGAAGCTGATGTATGTGCAACTGTTGATCAATCATCTGGAGTAATGCTGATGTCTTGAAATTTACTTTTATAAAAACGTCTTTTCTTAGCTCTAGCTTTCTTATATCTGTTTTCAGATCCCATGTTACAATGATATCATCAACA